CCACTTGGGATCCAGTATCGCTCGCGTAACTTCCCAAGAACAAACTGAGTCCCAGCATGACAATTACTCATATGGATATACATAATTAATTGATGAGTAATTGGGTCAGAATTTGGCAACAAAATTGGGCTCCGAAATAATATTGAGTCTTCCTTGTAGGTCAATCTTGTCTTGACATGCCATAATCCATCATCTTGAATCTCGACTTGAATATTCCCCATCACTGGTGACTTTATGTTGTAATGTCGTTGTTGAATGCTTCTCACGACGTCCAATTCTGCAGCTCTCATTTCACTCATGATGAGATATATGCTGGTTGAACGATTCTCTTTCTTATTTCTCGCATTGTTGATGAATCGTCTTATCCAACCAGCTACACGAATGTTCTTCAAATATGTGGAGAATCTTGGGGAACTGGGGTCGACAGTGGTCACCATCATGATTTCACACTTCTTCAGCTCCTTCGCCACTTCATCTTCGTCATATTTCAAATTTTGTTGAGGCCACTTCTTCTCATCCTCGTATAGCCATCCCAAAGCGATCTTGTAATGCTCTGATAACTTTGGGATAGTTCTCTTCTGACTGGGGGTAGCTATCCACCAGGTCTCTCGCCCTCGTTCCTTGGGGAATGCACTGGATCAAATATTGAAATTTGTCCGAATCGTGTAGACCATCATCCTCATGAATTTTCTTGAATTGCGCCCACCAGCCCAGCCACTCTGTCAACTCTCCATTGAATTTCTTCAACTGGATTTTCGGCAATTTGTAATTCTTCTTGTGATCTGTATCGGTGTGAACACTGGCGTAACTATTGGTACTTGCTGGTGGGGTTGATGATGCACATCCATTTGCCAATACCATCTCAACACGGACCTTGATATTGGAATGCTTTTCTATATACTCCATAATTCTATTGTTTTCATCTGCATAGGCTGTTTCTTCTGCGAATTCGTCATCAAGAATCGCATCCAGAATTTCTTTGTCGAGCTCGGCGACTTTTTCCCGAACTTGCTCCAAAACAGTCATCTTGCCGTAAATGAAGCTGACATCTGGTTCTTGTTTCCCCAGCTCGGCGTCCAACTCGTTGATCAATCTTGTCATGGTTGACCGCTGGGGTGTCCTCTGCTTTTTCAGCCGATCCATCTTTGCTGGTTGATGAGAACCTCAAAAAACAATCCAACAAAGGGAGACAATTTTAATTATCAGTTCTATTTATGACGCCAAACTGGACGTTATAACCTCGACTGATCTCGTATGCACAAGATAGGGCCCTCAACGAGGCAATGCAGTTTTTTATTAAAATCCTGAATCCTCCAAGTAGGTCAAAACTAGTTTGATATCACCTGATTTTACCCCGAACACTCAGGGTGGGGTCCTCAAAAAGGCAATTCTTGATGATATCCTTTCCTTGTCCTTGCTCCAGTTCCCGTCGACGCCAGCGGCTTTATTGTCCGGTCAAACTGGTCAGGTCACTTGTCTTCTGGTCGTCTCTAGTCTCGGTGGGACCTCCAAAATGATGAGAGCGGTCCAAGCAACTACCCGTCGCAAGCGTTTCTCCAATGTGAGCTAGAGATGACCGTAGACCTTGGTGGCTAATTGTCACTTAAATAACTCGTGCCTACTCAAACTGATAAAGAAACCCTACTGAAAACTTTAATACTGGGTTTTACTTATTTATTTGCATGAGCTACTTTTAATGAACAACAATTAATGAAGAAACAATTAACTTTGTTCTTCCTCTTTTTAACACTACTTTATACAACCACCTTCTTCCTCTGTTACTTTCTCTTAACTGACAAAATTCTCTCCAAAAATGCCCAATCATACCACACCGCGACATACAAAATTATAGGGAAATGTGAGATTCCTTCAATTGTAGTATATCAACTTTAGTATTATAAATTTCAGCAATATTTATTAACCTGATATCTACCTTGCAATTTTTGAACCTCAAACTATCAATGTATCTGATCTGCCTACAGAATTTCGACATATTTCCACATACTTGAATAAGAGACCCATTACAAATGGTGTTCATTCAAAAATGCTAAACCTCTACAGAGTTATTGGTACGACGAGTGGAATTTTCAAAACGTGTGTAACAATTCCATAGAATTATCGGACGTCGTACTCAAATCCAACGTAGGTGTCATGGAAGAACTCGGACATTTTACTGAATCACTTAACTATTAAATATTTTTATCGGGTCGAGTTTGTGAAAAGGAAAAGATGAGGAGATGAACGAGTGGTATGGAAAACCACGGTATGCAAAACGACCTTGTATGCAAAGTGACTGTTTAGGTTAAATGCGTTAGGGGATAATTTTGTATGTAAAATGCGTTATGCAAAGTGACACCAGACCCTTTAATCATATTACCGTTTAAGTCATCATGAAATTTGTAACTTGATAATAACCTCCATAATAAAACTGATAAAAATGTGGCGATAAGCGTAGAATGATTCCGGTTAAAAAGCCTAGTTTAGTATAAAATTTATACTATAAATTATAATTTTCACCCTTAATGCGGTAAAAATGTTAGAAATTTTAAAATTCGATTTTTAACTGAAATCTTTCCACGCTTATCGGTTAAAAAAATAGTTTTAAAAATTATGAAATTATCACTCGGAAATTTGTAACCCAGGTAATTCCAGAAACTTACAAACTTTAAGCGAATAACGAAGACAATTTGGTTCCAGTTTTATAAACTTTTATGGTTTAAATTTCATTTTAAAATTTGTCACATTTTAACGTCGTTTATAGCGAAGAACATTTATTTTATAGCTTTAATTTTTTCAAAGATCTACGAGAGCTCATTGATAAATTTGTGTGTTTTTTTTTGCTATTATTATTCAATTCACTCCGAAATTTGTAATAATCTCCGTAAATTTATAAGCGTTCCGATAAGCATGTAAGCTTGAGATTTAATCATTTTTTAAAATTTGTCAAGTTTTGACACCATTTAGAGCAAAAAAAATATATTAATTTTTTGGGTGAAAATAAGTTTCAGATCAGACTTACATCACTTCTGTTTTTACTAAAAGTAAAAAAATAACGTTTCCACCCAATTGCATAGGCAAATCAGGTTAAAAATGTGTCGTTAATTTACACTGGTCGAGGATATCTGTTTATTTTTGTAAAATACTTTTACAAACTTTTTTAAAAAATTTTTTATAACTTTTTTCCACAGCTAGTAAGTTATTTAAGCTAATCGATTCAATGCTAGGTCAAAATCAAGTCAATTTTTTAGAGAAAATTCCATTGGGATAAGTTTAACGATTAAAATAATTTTATTTTTTGTTGTAATATAAGGTATACGGAGGCCAGCCACCCACCATAAGCCACCCACCAAAAGCCACTCAACAAAAGCCACTCCCCATAAGCCACACTAGGAAATAGGCCACCCCAGGAAAAAGCCACTCACCAAAAGCCACCTTCCATAAGCCACCGTAGGAAATAAGCCACTTCTAGAAAAAGCTACTTTTGTCATCTTCATTGATAAAACCTAGTTCAAACAATTTTGCGGGGCCTTTTAAGACATTATTCACTGAAAGTCACACACGTAATATAATTTCGTGATATATTATTGGTACAAACAGTCACAGAAAACGAGGATTAAGAAAAACAATCGAGCGAGAGACTGTATTGAGATTGTTAAATATGAAATCAGCTATTTAACATTACAAATTTTAGGAATGTGAGAACGGTTAGGGCAATGGGTTATAAGCGTAATCCAGTATTAAAATTATACCAAGCGGAATTCACATATAACTGAACTAAAGTGGTATTGGTAAGTAGATAATACCGTGCAGTAATAATAGCTCGGTATTAAAGTTTTAATATATTGGTATCAAATTTTTACGGACGGGGATAATTTTAATATCAAGAGGTAGTAATTTTAATACCGAGAAATCAATATCTGTATGACTTATACCAGATTTGTCAAACTGTACACTCACATCCCAAATTTTAGCTGAGGTTGAAAATATTTGAAAATATACGTCAATTTCGGTGCTCCGAAGTCTCAGGTCATACCAAATTTTAGCTGCGTACAACATATTTCATAAATTTGCGTGGATTACTCTATCGAGTCCCTAAGAATTTGAATATTAAATTTCCAGCTTGTGTGGTAAACACAAGGACTAAGCGTAGTCCAACCCCCGGTTTATTAATAAAGATGATAATTATAAGAGTAGCTATTTCTAGAAGTGGCTTATTTCCTACGGTGGCTCATGGAAGGTGGCTTTTGGTGAGGGGCTTTCTCCTGGGGTAGCTTATTTCCTAGAGTGGCTTATGGGGAGTGGCTTTTGTTGAGTGGCTTTTGGTGGGTGGCTTATGGCGGGTGGCTTACGTCCGCAAATCGTAATATAATAATGTAAGAAAAAGATTGATTTTGTCTAATTGCATTCACGAAAGTCTTATTTCGATTGGCAACTATAGTTTAGTAAATATTGGAGAAATTAAGCATGAGGCGATTCACGCAGGCCTTGGTAACATTGCAAAATGCGTATTTTAGAATGCGTATTGCGTATAATAGACTGACAAACTTTTACAAAATTTTATTCATATTTCTTAGGAAAATTAGCTCCCAAATTTTTGTAAACTTGCTCAGATCTCTTTATTTTGTAAAAGTTTGTAAAATTATTTTACAAAACACACAGCTTTTACAAAATTACTAAGGACTCCGTGAATTTTTTCAATCTTCCCAAATAAAAATAATGGATAATTTTTCAGTAAAAATTTTTTTCATAATGTCACAATTTGCCAAATTCTTCTCACGTTTCTAAATCAATTTTCAAAATTAAAATAACTGGGTAAATTTCCCAAAATAATTTTTGTGCAAAATTATTTTTCGAATGTCGTCAATATATATATCGGCAAATTCTGCTCATGTTTCTAAATCAATTTTAGAAATTGTGCGAACGATGCGCATCATTGTAAAAAAAATCAATTAATTGAAAGAACAACTGTTAACGAAGCAAAATCAATATTTTTTTTGCAGCTGATCGGATTACTTGATCTCGGAGCTTTTTACATGCAGTGGAAACTTATCAAAGTGAATAACGAGGAGAAACCGGATGTGAGCACACACAAAAAAACCAAAAGAGAAAGTTCTCCGGAGAAAGTTGAACTATTTTTTACCCATGTTTTTTTTCAGCCGTTGGTATCTTTCCCTGGTCAGAATATCGTCTGTGTCTCATTCCTCCTCAGCCTCATCTTTCAAGAAGCGTTCCTCTGGTTGGAGAGGGTAAAAATTTTAGAATTTTTAAGAATTTTGAAAATTTTTGAAATTTATGATAATTGATTTTTTTATTGTCAGGATTCCAAGCGCACCGCAATCTATGCCACGCTATCTTTCATTGCATCGATTTTTGTCATGAGTCTGGTTTGGTTTTATCAAGAACAACACGGCCGAGCGTACACTGGAGGAGGTAAGATTTTTGGGGAATTTGTTTATTTATTTTTTTATTAGTTACTTTGGAAAAGTTGTGCGATTAAAATAATTTTACTTTTTGTTGTAAATACAATAATTTTATGAAAAAAGATTCATTTAGTGTATTTACTTGTCCATGAAAGTTAAATTTCGCATCGCAACTATCTAATTTAGTAAATATTTATTTAGTCACTTTATGACGCATGGCTAGGCAACTTTGTAAAATCAGTACGTTTCGGAAAATAATTTCTAAACTTATATTTTTAAGATTGGACTCGGAATTAATTAGAGTTGATAACCTTTAACGCATTTGTAAATAATTATTTTTATTCAATCAGAATTTACGATTAAAGATATTCAAATCCTCATGATCATTACTTAGTACTTAGTAAGTACTACTTACTACCGACTTGGTAATAACGATTTTTTTTACCAATTCCTCGCCTGAATTTAAATTTCTCAATTTCTGACAGTTTTGAATTTATTTAATACTCGATTTCTTTTGTAAGTTTACAGAATTTACGGATTTTACAAAGTTCCCAGAGACTGTCAACTAAATATGTGAATTGACTCATTCATTGAGCCGATTCTGTATGTAAACATTTTGTAAAGTTCACGAAAATAAATAATTCTCGATCTTTGGAAATGTATCTTTTTTAATTTTATAAATAAGTTTCCAGCAATTACTGGGTTACAAAAAATTCGTGTTGGAAACTATTTTTTTAACTAGAGAGAATTTCCAATATTTTTTTTTTCTTTTTTTTTCAGGAACTGAGGCGAAAGTACGAGGGCTGTTTTTATTTTTCCTGTGGTTGCTGTTTCTCGTCATCACGATCGTCTACGCTGTCCGACTGACCCGTCTCACTTATCACATCTCACAACGCGAGAGGTTCTCCCGATAAGGTGAAATTCGTAGATAAGCGTCTCAACAAATCTGAGACAATGGAAGCCTTGACGGCTTAATTGACCAGTTAGAGTAATTAATACAAAAAACTTAATAATCATGAATCGTACAGAATTATTTGTAGTTGAGTGAGAGGAATTCACGCCAAGTTTTGTAACCGTGTAAAAAATTTGGAACATTTTTTATCACAAAAAAGATGAGATGTGCAAACTTTCAAAATTTGACAAGTTGGTTTTCCTAGATTTCGATATGACGCGAAAATTTACAAACTTTGTAAAGTTAAAAAATTCTGCGCAAATTAGAAAAATTTCATCAACTTAGAAACTTCTTAATTCCAGAAAATCAAGTTCAAATGTCACCAAAATTTTCGGAATCTAGACAATCAGGCACAAATTTTGTAAAATACCACCAAAATTTCGGAATCCTAGAAAATCAGGAAATTTTGTAAAATACCACCAAAATTTCTGAATTCTAGAAAATCCGGCGCAAATTTTGTAAAATACCACCAAAATTTCTGAATTGTAGAAAATCCGGCGCAAATTTTGTAAAATACCACCAAAATTTCTGAATTGTAGAAAATCAGTCGCAAATTTTGTACAATTTTGTTCCTCCAATTTTTTTACATGGTTAACAAAGTTGGCGTGAAAAAAATGTGTCACGAATTTTATAAGGCTCTGACTTCTTTAAACTTTAAACCTTTATACAAACAAATAAATTCGACAGGCTGCAGGCATTCTGGAGTTTTAGAAAAAGTTGGTGAAAGTGAAAATAAAAATTTATGCTTTTAAAAAAAACTGTTTTCTATTTCCGTTTTCTATAAAACTTTGTATACTAATTTTTACTAATTATAATCAAATATTTCCCATAGAAAAAAATATATGTATAGTGAAAAAACTGGCTCAAAATTGACTCAAATAGGAGAAATCTACTCTAAAATGAAATTTCCAATACTCACCTGGATCTAATCGTGAATCGTGATCAATTTGGTATTTAATTTATAAATAAAAAAATTGGACGACAAAAAAAATCTAGAAAAATTCTGTAAAAATCTATCAACTTGACTTTCTCTGTCTCTATCAAAGTTTTATAATTTTTTGGTAACGGTTTACTACCCAACGGAACAGTAATAAATAATTGCACAAAAAGTCAAATTTTAATCACATTAATTACTGGGTGCCACCCAGTGGGTGGTAACAAATTAGGCATTTTTGTACAATCATTGTTACTGCTGTTTAGTAATAAATCATTATTGTGAGCTCAGTTGCAATGTTTTTTGAAAATTTATATATTTAACGCGTGAATTTTTGGATGAACTCGAATTTATAATTGTACTGCAATTAATTATTTAAAACTTTAAAAATAATACTGTGAACGAATTTAATGAATGGTGAGTGAAAGTAGTTTAATTTTCTCGTATGAAAATCGAAATGTGAAAAATTGACTCATTTTTCTGAAGAATCAGATTCTCCAGAAACCTTTGAGGTACTTTCTTTCTGCCAAAAAATCATACTCTGAACTAAAAAAGGCAAGTCACGCAGGTCATTGGTAACTTTGTAAAACATGTACTTTTTTGTAAAATGTTTTACAAACTTCTACACACAAAGTAAAGAGACGCCCTTTCATCTGAGTAAGTATACACAAATTTGTAAGCTAATTCTCCTCAGAAATATGTACAAAATTTTGTAAAAGTTTGTAAGTCTACGGAACTTACGGATTTTGCAATGCTACCAAGGCCTGCGTGAATTTTTTCAGAGTTTATGGAAATTGAACAAAATCATCTCCTAAAAATGAGCCAACTTCCGATTTTCATACGAGACATGGAACCGTTCTAGCATTACGTGCATCACGAATTTGTAGTTTTTGTGACATTTAGAAACTCATTGGTACTTTTTCCACTCGATTTCGACCACACACGTAATTCTCGAGCGGTGGCTGATTACTACCTGTAAATAATTAGTCGACGAGATGAGATGCGAGAAAAATAGCAACTTTGTGAACTCTGGCCAAATTAGTGTTATTATTAATACATTAAATATATACACGTATTACAGTACACATAAATTTACAGTATACGGAGTAACAGAGGAGATCCAAAAATAATGCTCTCTGCCCTTTTAATTAAGTCGTAATTAATTAATAATTAATTAATTATAATTGTAATTATAATTATGTGAACCTAAATTCCACCCAAACAAACCTACAGAAAATAATCAACGAAATCAACAGCATTAATTAATTAATTAAAATTTGAACATTTCAATTAATGTAAATTATCATCAATTAATTTAATTGTAGAAAATATTATAATCTGTAATTAATTTAATTGTAGAAAATATTATAATCTGTAATTAATTAATTGCAATTATTTTTTATTTGAATTTAATTACCGGTGTTCAAATCACTCAAACAAAAAATATTTACAAGTAATGATCAAGTAAATTAGTTAATTATCAAAATTAAAACTTGTGTGCTACATAAATTTGAAACGAATAAAAAACTGAAAGCATTTAAAGCATAATTTTTCTAAAAATCTTATCGTGTAATTATTGCGCTTGAATTTGTCTTTGTATGATTTTTGGTTTAAAGATAGGATCACATTTTATTTACAGGTAAAATTAATCAGCATTTTGTAGTTTGGCAAAATTCTGCAAATTTTGCAAATTTTGAAGTTAATTAGGAAAACAAAACCTGGACACGAACCGGCAAACAATTTTTACCGATAACAAGAATTGTTTGCGTAACTCAAACGAAGCTATTTTTACCGAAATCAATAGTTTTAAGATAAGGTTACTCTGGATTTTCTATACAACCGTTACCCGTTCGTTACCGCTTGTGTTGGTAAATCCCAAATTGGTAAATTGGTAAAAATTGGTAGCATATTTTTTCACGACCAAAATTTGATTTACGATTTTTTCCCTACACACAAAATACTACGATTTTCACTTTATAACGAATATTAATTAGTAATTAATTCATAGTTCGTTACTTAAAGGTTTAAGTTACTTAAATTAATTAAGTTCTTAAATAGCTTCTTGATGCATTATCAACAATTAATTAATTAATAAATCACATTGATTTTGAACAACACAATTCATATTTAGTGACCGGACAATTTTAAGTAGGAAGTGATTTTTGGCAAGAATTTGACAAACCAGAATTTAATTTTTATTGCCAATTTTAACATTACGACAATCAACACTAACACATTTCTGTAAATTTTAGCACATTTAATTTTACACGTGACACAATTCATAATTATTTACGTTAAATTGTTACATATAATTTTTTAGTAGTTCTTGTCCATGTTAATTTAAGGATTAATATTTGACCCACCAACTAATTATTACTTCGCTAATAAGTAAGTTCTAAACAGGTTTCGTTTTCTTCTAATATCACTAAAGTTCTCTATTTCATCCAATCCACATTTACATATTTTGATTTTTGCACAGTTGCAAAAGTGTGCAAAAAATGGTGTCACGTTCATTATTCCAAAAGAATTTGCATCTTCATCTGCTCATTTCATCATTAACAAGTAATATTCGACAAAATACAAGTCTTGTAAATTATAAATTTACATAATAATTCTAGTTCTAGACAAATACACCTCTCGAAATTTAGACATTCTCATCACTGTTAGAAATGTACTTCGTCTTTTTAGTCAGACAAATGTTTTAAAATGCAATTTAGGTGAAATTTTGTATTTAAAGTCAGAGATTTAAAATTAATTGTATTACTTTACTGTAAAATTATTAAAATAGGTAGAATTCGTAAAATTAATAAAACTAAAAAAAATTGCAAAATTAGTACTTATTACCGGAAAAGTGTGTTTACCAATTTGTTTTATTTGTTTGAGCTTTTTTGATTGTTGCCTGATTTGTCTCGGGTGATGATGAAAATTGTCACACGCTGATTAATTCATATCTTTTTTTTAGAATAGTTCAGGAAGGATTTTAAAACGAAAAATTAATTAGGGACATACTTCATTTATCGTCACACTAACATTTGCACCTTAAAACCCGTAACAAATATTTACCACCCGGTAACAAACATTTACCACCAGATAATAAACATTTACCACCCTCTACCAAAAATTTGCCGTCGGATAATAATAGTTAACCGCAGGTAATAAAAATTTACCACCCGGTAACAAATCGTTACCAAATTATTTACATGTTAGATTGCCATATTTATAACCTTGTTTTAATTCCTTATGATTGTATTTTTGTCTCAAGGGCAGTTAAAGGTTAAGGGTATATTTTTTTAAGGATAGTGTTTTGTGCAGCACAGGTTTTGATTGTTAATTACTTGTTAGTTTGATAGCTTAATTAATTAATTAGTTATTTACATAATTAGTTTAATTATAGTTTAATTGGTTAAGGTCACTAAATATCAGTTAGTTAGTAATACGGTTGGTAATTCATTGTGTTTTTCCCGAAAAACATTTTTTCTTTCTACTGAAGGCCAATGTTTAAAGTAAGGAATTATTCGTTAGGCGTTAATTAGCAGGTTAATAGTTTGATTGTTTTTAATGTTCAGTGCGGTAATTAGTTAATTAACTGGTTAATTAATTTGTTAGTAATCAGTAGTACGGACAGGGATAGTTAATTGGTGATTAGTCACTTAATTAATAAGCAGCAAACTGGAATCCGTATATAATGATCCGACCAAATCGGGATCTGTAGTTAATTAGTTAATTTAATATGCGTTAATTCTAAAATTATTTGATTTCGGTGGCAAACATGTTCAAAATCTGTACTAATCAATTTTAATTAATCGATTAATTAATTCTTAATTAAATTTTAATTAAAGTAATTACCGGCTTCATTGTCTAAAAATTTAATCAGTAGTCGGTTACCGATTAATTAATTGTTGCTTAATTATTACGTGGTTATTCAACGATTAAAAACAAAATTAATCCAATCAATCCCAAAATTACTGATTAATCAATCAATAAAATTACCTATTAAAAACTTAATCATGCCGTATTTACACAATAATTATGACCATTAAAAATAACAATTATTTCAATCAATCCCTAAATTACAGATTAACAATTTAGTCATGTTCATGCTCACATAATAATTATCCCAACAAACAACAATTATTCCAATAATCCCTTAATCACCGATTAACTAATTACCAATTAAAATCTTAATCACGTCCATATTTACATACATAATACCAATTACTTTAGCAATTAATTTCTAAAACGAGTAGGTCACATCACTCCTTTTTTTCCCACTTGGTGAGGATGACGTAAAGGAAGCGGACGACGTAGAGGAAGGCGGCCACACCCATGAAACCCCCCACGCCGAGCAGGTAGGGCTTCCCCATCCCCAAAAATTCCTCCTCCTCGTCCAACACCAGAGAAATATACCAAACCAGCTGAGAATATACCGTCCCCAGGAAAAACGCCGTAAATGTGATCAAAAACGGGCCACGGCACGTCTAGAAAAAATAAGAGGAAAAATTGAAGTAGTTCACGCAATACTTGGTGATAACATTTATACATAATGATAAATTGTTGAAGAGTAAAATTATTTTTTAAAATTTTCGGCAAAAGTTTACGTAAAATTAGTAAAATGCTGAAATAATGTTTCTTTAATTGAGTAACTTCTTAATTGTAGCATTCCAGGGAACTCGCAAATAATCTGAGATTTCGTAATTCTTTTCATAACTTTGAAAGAATAATCCTATCCGGTGTTAAAATTCAACAAATTTTTATAAAATGTTTAATTTGAGGCGAATCTTTAGAAAGCTTTTGATCGAAATTTTAATTTAAAAGATGTATAACTTTTGTAAATTTTTGAAATAAGAGGCAATTCTAAAATTACAATGTCCTTGATAACATTGTAAAATCCGTAAATTCTGTAAACTTACAAACTTTTGCAAATATTTCTGAGGAAAATTATCTCAATTTTTTATAAACTTGCTCCAATCAATGGCGTCAAGTCAAGTCAAGTCAAGTAATCCTTTATTAACATGTCAACAAATCTCTCTCTCTTTATTTTGTAAAAGTTTGAAAAATTATTGATTACAAAACGCCCGGATTTTACAAAGTTATCAATGAATGCATTAATTGAATTGCTTTATTGTAAATAATTATGTGGTAATAAATTTATTACCGGCTTGGTAACAAAAATCCAGTATGAAATAAATTCAAATGTCAGAAATTGAGAAATGAATAAATTAGAATTTAGGGGAAGCATTTGTAAAAAACCAAATCGTTACCGATTCGGTATACAGTTGATACTAGATAATAATTTAGTTCAAGACATGCCACGCAAGTTTTGTATCTTGAATAATAGAATTCGTTGAATGAAAATAATTATTTAAAAAGTGGCGTTAAAATTTATTGATGCTAATTAATTCGGACCCCCATCTTAAAAATATTCCAGATTTGGGGACAATTATTTTTCTATTTAGTAGCAAACCGTTACCGATTTTATGTTACCAACCACGCGTTCAAAATTATGGGTGAAAATAAAAAAAATTAACTTTTTAACTTTTAGCTTTTTACATTTTTATAATTTTCAACAAATTGGACAAATTTTCAATCAAATTCACCTGAGTTTCATGAACATTACATTTTTGTAATTAAAATGAGCTACCTTTCCGAATTGAAATATAACTTCGGCAATAAACGTCAAACTTGGAAAGGTCAGAATGGAAAATATTTTTCCCGGAAAGTACACCAGATCCTGAAAAAATGTAAAAAAATTGGAAAATGAGAAATGTTTTATATAAATAGTGACACCTTGAAATTACAGAAAAAATTGTTTGTGCAAAATTTACATGCAGCTATCTCATACAAATTCTAATTAAACTAAATATTACTAATTAATTTCTAATTAACACTAACTAAACTAATAAAATTCCTATTTTCTCGCATGGAATTTGCCTGGAAATGATTTTGCAATTCAAAATAGATAGAAAAATACAAATTGCAAAATGTTTCATGCAAATTGTTTTTTGCATGAAACTTGAATGCAGATAATTTTTACAAATCTAAACTAAATCATAAGTGAAATATTATTATTTTGTATGAATTAGCCTCAAAATGAATAGCAAAAATGAAATATAAATTTTACATGAAAATAATCCCTGCAGAAATTTGATTCTGAAAATATTTCCAATTTTTACCGTTGTTGGAAGGAAAGCCGCCACCGCGACGACGCTCTGGACCCCACTGGCGACAAAGAGGGAAAGTTGGGAGGCCTGGTACATTGGGGGGTTATTTCCCCCCTGATTCGCCGAACCACTCCCCCCGCCCCCACTCGTCATCGTCGTCATGGGAACGAGAACAGCTTGTCTCTCTTCGAGACGAAGGGCGAATCTCGTCAGGCGAACAAAGTCGAGGTGGGAGAAGATAAAGTACGGAACCCACATGACCACGACGGCCAGAAAGTTGAGGGGGAAGCCGTGCTCCTCCATGGACATTCGAATCCCACGGTAGCTCAGGATACATCCAGTGCAAAAATTCGTGCAAAATGCCGAAGTGCAGAGAGACACGAGAGCATAGTGGACCTGAGGAGGGAGAAAGGTGAAAAATTATTGGTAAAAGGGAAGTGTTACCAAAGGGAGCAGATTACCGGATTTGGTAAAAGTATGGTAGTTTGTAAATAGCTACCGGCTTAATGAAAGTATGATACATAGTTATAGTTGTTACCGGCTTGGGAATAAATTATTTTTACCGGTTTCCAAATAATTATTTTACCGGTCTACCGATAGTTCATAATTTATCTTTACCGTTTTTTATCTGTTGTTTACCAATAATTATTTGACCGGTTTACAATTAATTTATTTTTACCGGTTTTCCAGTAGTTTATAATTTATCCATACAGTTTTATTTGTTAACTGTTTACTCATCACATAACCGGTAACTTTTACCAAAATCGGTAAATTTTATTCATGATAAATAAATATCTAAAATCCTCGTTACGAACCCTGTTTTGAAATAGGACCAACTCGTTTAAAAGCAACGCCGCGAAAAATCCAACCGCCCACATGCACCAATTTCCAATTCGGTCTTGACTCTGAAATTACAAGTAATAATAAACTACTATGCAAATTATTGATTGCAAATCGTGCTCAGATTTTGTAATAATTTTTTTACCAATTGTCTGGGGTCCTTTGCCGGGTAGAAAATGTCTTGAATTAGGACAACAACGGGAAGAAGACCAAGTGCCTGCAGAAAAATTGCATATGAATTTGAAACTGCCAATAATTTGCATAATTTGATATTTGCATAGAAATTAGATCATTACGATTTGCAAAATGACCGCAAATCCGATGACGCAGTATCTGCTCAGGATAATAATTCCGGATTCGTCCTCCGACTAGAAAAAATTGTGAAAATTTGTTTTAAAATTTTATGATTTATGTAGTAACATCATTTCAAAATTTCGGATATTTTTATTTTAAGTCAAGACTGACACCATTTCAAAATTTCGGATATTTTTAAGTAAAGGCTAACACAAAATCTTATTCACATTTATGACTGAAGAATTTAAAAAATAATAATAAGGGAAAAATTGTTTACAAAAAAACAAGTCGTGTTTTCTTTACGGAGCTTAAAGCTTAAGATTAACTTTTTAAATGAATAATGTCTTTGGTAGCATTATGAAATCCGTAAATTCTGTAAATTTACAAACTTTTACAACATTTTAAAAATATTTCGGAGGAAAATTAGCTTAAAAATATATAATTTTTAACTGTATTTCAAGTTTTGTAGTTATACGTTTTGTTACTTATACTCCAATTACGAAATTTTGGATAAATTTTTAAAATAAGATTATTAGGTTCTTGTACCATCTGTACGATGCTATTTAATTTGCAAAGTTTGACTGAGGGTTTAGATTCATATGTATTTTTAAAATTAAATATTTTTTAAAAATTAAACACGGTTTTTTAATTACCGTTTTTTTTTAAAATTAAATTAAGCATTTTTAAAAATTAAACATTTCAATTAACAACTTTCTGTCAAGAAATTCACCCGAAATTCAACAAATTTACACAAATTTGTCGGATTTTTGTTGGATTTTAAAACCGGATAAGAGTATTCATTCGAAGGTATAAACGAAAATACAAAACTTTAGATTCCCCCAAACGCACAATGTATTATTAGACCTTATAGTGTTGCAAAAATACCTGGGGGTGTGCCACTATCAAAATATATTTATGAATCACGAGTGGGATCCAGGATATTCATTTCAAAAAATTTTATCGACCACACCCCCTGTGGGGGGGGAGTTTCTCCCCCAGGGGTGTGGTCATCATATTTTTATATTTTTGTACTCAGCAACTCATACTAACCCTGAATTAAAATTTTTGAGGATTAAAAAAATTTTCTGGCCGAGATGTAACCGTTTATATAAAGTGCATCCCATATGTAAAGTGCAGCTCGGTCCGCCATTGATCTTAAGGGTACCGGCGGGAAAAAATTGATCAGAGATAACCCATCTTTTAGGTAATTTCATGTAGTTTAAGAAAACTTATAACAGATTTCATCAAAAAATCTTGTTTATAAATGACACGAGCCGGAATCCGAACATTCGGAAGAGTCGATTTTCACTCACACGAAAATTCGTCTCTGCTTGATAGGAAAAAAAAGATGACCACTTCGCCAGGCAAGGAAAATGCAGATTCGTTGTTGACCTTAAGACTACAAGGTGTGAGCTTGCCGGTGACACAAATTACAAAAAATTATCAGGTCCGACGGCTACCCAATCGACGAAATTAGATGTAGCTAGAAGTAAGGAGCTCTTCAAAAAGCGTCCTGCAGTTCAATGACTTCAGCATCCACAAAACAAAAGATATCAATTCCAATGATATGTCGAATTAAACTTCACACCTTGGGCATGAAAGGGTATGTGAAGCAATCAGCACGGAAATATGTTGGTTGTCTACACCAGCAAACTAAAACAGCGTCTAGGAAAATTATAAAAAAATGGTCGAGCAAACTGGTGGTTATTCATGATTAAATCTAAGTCACCATTGACCCTGATCATGTTCCCCATCGTACATATTTTCATGCAACTACTCCAGCAGATGTTAAATACGAAGATAGACCGAAGGCAGAGGCAATATTTCAAAAGAAAATCTTGATTATGGAATATGGGGACCCAGGAATACATTGGATGAGATACAAGAAAATCAGACAGCGCTCCAAATGTACCTCAAACGTGTGGTATCGAAAATTTCTGGGCCAATTGTCGAAGAACATATTCCAATCGAGAGAAAAAGATTGCAACCATTCGTGGGTTTCGAAAGTTTCAACCAGAATCGCGAAGGACATTGAAGCAAAGTCGGGAAAACGACTCTTTGGCGGAGCTCGGAAGAACCGAATATCTCTAGGTTACAATTGGATAGAAAATTGGTTTAAGGACAAGACTAACGCACACAACTCCTAAGCTTTGGCATAAAATAACATTCTTTGAAATCAATTGAATTAGAACAAAATGAGGGCCATTTTCCCATCTGCACTTTACATATGGGACGCACTTTATACTAAAACGTGGGTTTTCTAGCCACTTTAAGTGGGTGTAACACCGAACGTCGCAGCTACCCGACCAGGATATTTACGGTTCTTCATTTCTATGGGAGGGTACTACAACCCTGAAAGAAAGGTCAGTCGGGAACCTGCTACCCCCAGAGTTACACCCCCTCAAACTTTCTCAGGGAAGTGCTATATTGTGAAAAAAGTTTTACACGGAAATATGAATGGATCCTTCATCTGGGGTCCTAGTAGATTCCAAAAAAACATAGTGGGTACCCTGGACTCAAACGACAGGTCGTAAGTGTCCCTTGTGAGTACAAAAATATAAAAATATGATGACCACACCCCTGGGGGAGAAACTCCCCCCCACAGGGGGTATGGTCGATAAATTTTTTTGAAATGAATATCCTGGATCCTACTCGTGATTCATAAATATATTTTGATAGTGGCACACCCCCAGGTATTTTTGCAACACTATAAGGTCTAATAATACATTGTGAAACGTTCGCTGAAATGTTACAATTGAAAAGTTAGCCAATTAAGGAAACATTATTTCAACATTTCAAATTTCTGGTTCTCATGACAGATTACAATTAAAAAGTTACACAATTTGAGAATCATTATTCCGAAAATCTCCAAAGTTTAGGAAAAGTTTTACTAATACATTTTATTAAATTTGAATTTACGTTTTATCAAGTAATCAATGTCTGCATGAATTCTTCTCTTGGATTGTTCGATAGTTTTTATTTTATTTAAATTACTGATGGTGAGTGGGATTCTGGTCCGGGCAAAAAGTCCTGTTTTGCTGGGAATCGAGCGTGCACGCGCTCTTCCCTACTTTTGCACTGATTCATGTGAAATTTTAAACTTTGACCTAGAGATGCGAAATTTGGCATGCACATGCACCAACATATGCTGCATCATAATATAACATCAATTCCCGTTCCGTTCGCTATAAATTTTTCAGGAAAAATCAAAAACTAAATGTAATAGCGATGAAAATACTGATGTTGAGTCAACATCAGTATTTTACCAAACTTGCAGTTTTTTGCAGTAAAAATCTTGAACTTTCATATTGCTAAACCATTCAAATATAATCTTTAGCTATAATAAAAATTTTACAGAAATAAAAATACACTCGTCGACTTCAAAGTTTACCAAATTTTTACGTTTTGATCAAAGCCATGCAATTCTTTACAATTTACCGATTTATTTATAAAGTATACAGTTCAAGGATCATTATAATGTGATTTCAAGTGATTTATGTGAAATATTTGGAATTTCTGGGATTATGGGACAAAGTGGAACAACTTTCGTTCACAAGCGTTTTATTTAGATGAAGATTAATTAGTTTGATATTCGGATTGAACATAAAATTCTGACGGTTTCTGTATGTTAATCGACCTGTTTTTGGCTCAACTTTCATCCTAAAGATATGAATCAAATGAAAAATGCAACTTTGTCCTAATCGGTTCAAGTCAGATAACAAAATGGTCAGAATTTCGAGCTGAATCAAAATTTTAAGTTGCTTCGTCCTAGAACGATTTTAAACAAGTTGTCTCACTTTTTCTCCCAGTGATTAATATCAAAAATAACAATTAGAAATCACACCTAAATCACAAAGTGTGATTATCACTATTCAAACCGCGGAGATTATGAGTAATACGGTGCAGTAAATTTTAAATTATCAAAGTATGAAATTTGTATCATATCATGTTGACTCAGGTTTTGAAATTTGTCAAATTTTGATGTCGTTTACGATAAAGCTTCTTTATTTTATGGCGAAATATAAAATTTAGATTAAGTTGTTGATATATGTTAGAAATACTTTTCTGCAGTAATATCACAGAAATCATCAGGTGTGAAAATCACAGAAATCACAACTAAATCACAACATAAGATTATCACGGTTCAGACCCTGGAGCTGTTTGCGTCAGTCAATTTTAAATTATGGCATGATGAAATTTGCAATGTTTTCTATTTAACTCGAGTTTTAAAGTTTGTCACATTTTGACGTCGATTACAATAAAATGTATTTCTTTTATAGTGAAAACAAAATTTAGATCCAGGCTCGGGATTGAATACTTTAATATAATAAAAAAATTAATATCATAAAAATCACCGAAATCACAATTTGCGAAGAAATCACAGTACGTGAAAATTACACAAATAACACCTAAATCATAAAGACACAAAATCTTATCCACATCTGTGACTGAAAATTTAAGAATAAAGATAACGGATGTCTCGGAAATTGGAGGACTGTATGTTTTTTATGTTTGTGTGACTTATTGTGTAACTCGATGGCGTGGTGTGACCGTAAAACTGTGTAAATAAGCGGCGGCGTTGTCACAATTAGTTACTTTGTTGGTAGTTTTATTTATTCGTCACACAATTTCTCATTTACTTACAATTTTAGAGTGTTAAGAGAGACGAGGGGCAAAATACGTGTTATTGTTCTCGTAGCTGGAGAGACACTAAAATTATTTCAACTTGAACTTCACTTAAAAAGGGCATATTCACTGCCAAAACCGAAGCCAACTTCTGGCAAAGGGAAGGTCTCCTCAACCTCACCAGCCAATGGCTGATGGCCACACAATTATTGGAGGTGGGGTTGAGGAGGTCACGAAAGGTTCAAAAAACTTTAAAGAAAAAGATTAAAAACTGGACAAGTGCCAGGAAAAAAAGACGACAGAATGGCACCATTCAAATTTACCAAACTGGTCTCTGTCTCGAAGGTACATACATACATCCACCAAAGTCATTTTCATATCACAGCAAATACATTCAGATTTTTTTTCATTATCATGTCAAATATCATTTAGAATAATTATGTAAATC